GAGTATCATAAAAGGTCAAGTAGAAACGACGAAGCAAACGACTTTCGCAAGTAAATATCTAGAAAGTCAAGTAGACAAAACAAGTATTGAAGCCAATACTAATAAGCTAATAAGTAATCAAAATGGTTGAAGTAAAAAAAAAAAGTAAGCAATATAAAGAAAAGGTATTTGATTTTACTGAGCGGTTTATATACCAATTTCAATGCAAGTCACAATGAACTCCTTAGGATAGAGTAATTCGCTTTGGGATAAGATAAAACTAATCGAGTTATAGAACTACTCTAATAAGTAAAAGCACTATCTATCATATCGAAATAAGAACCCCAAAGTGAAATGAGAGAGTAGTCCCAATTTATGATATTTATGTATTATAGAATATCAGGTTCTTATACCTTAAATATCAGATATCTTGTAGCTTCATATTACAATAGACTCTAGCTTGTATTGATTGTCATATTTTTATCAGCGCACCTTGACATGTTGTACCGCTTTTTTTTTTTTTTTTTTTTTTTCCATAACGGCTATAAGCTATTATAATTGGACTGTCTTAGTGGTACACTTGCAAGCCAAACATGTATGCTTTAGAGTAAATGTGGATACTAGAATTAATCAAACAAAATCAAGATATTCCTCCCCACATATGATTTTACTTTGGGACTACAACTTACCTTGTTTGTAAGGCCCCATGCACTCACAAGGAGCTCAGAACAAGACAGATATGATGGGTATAAAGTACATTACATAAATAAATCAATCCGTAATAAGGCTTATTATATTTCTTTTGTAAGCCTAGCGCTCAGTACATAAAATTGATCCTGGCTTTTGGTTTTATTGGATTATTCATTATTTTTCATACATTACATGTTTACAATCTATTTTTTATTTACAAACAATGACATCAATATAAAGAAAGGTGTAGAAGGATATCAAGTAGGAATCATAAGATTAAAAACTCCCAGCGATAGAAATATAATCAACGATCCAGAAAAGTATATTATTATCAACATTTTGCTTAAAGACACTGGATGAAGTGAACAGAGTAGCTATCAGTTTGAGCGAGGTTTTTGTCGTCATAAGAAATGTTGGCTGCTATTTTCGCACTTTTTACACCTGCCAATATGCCTTTCAGTCCGTGAACCTATTGCCTAATGGTCTAAAATGTATTTGTTTTAAAAATATGAAAAAGACCAAAGCATCGTTGTGTCAACTCGTAAAAAGGAAAATCTATCTTCAAGCAAAAGATACGACTTTCTTTATTTGTAAGGGAAAAGATACATCTTCATTATTCTTATCTTCTTGTAGCATTTTTACAAGTAACATAATTAAAAACAAGACAGAATAAACTTAGGACTTTACTAGTAATATGTTAAAGACGTACATACATTGTAATTACAAATTGACTTTCTTGTTTTTTCGATTCATTTTGTCATGAACAAAATCAATCATGTATACTATATACTTGATATGCTTTTAATCTTCAGTTCTTACCCCTTTTAAGCATTCAGAACATAATGAGGTCTTGATTCATGAGTTGACTTTTCTTACAATTCATTCTCGAATAAATCTGATAAGTATAATAGCACCAAAAGCGTACTGACAGCCCGCTGCAGGTGTGGGTGTTTTTTTTAAAGTAATCCCTTATTTCTGCCTTCTAATTCCCTTTTTTTTTTTGGGTTTCCTGTATTTGAACATGCACAAAAGAACATATTTATGCAAAAATAGAGCATGTTTTGAAAGAGTCAAAAAATCATCATTTTGGCCTTGATACCCTTTACGAAATCTTTACTTTGCACTATTTTGCGATTGGTGATCGATACAGACATTATTGATACAGCATGTCTTAGTACAAATTGCTTTTATAGGTCTACAAAACATACTCCAGGTGTTATATCTACAAAAGTACTATTAAAAGTGTATGCTATGGCTCAAAAACAGAGAACACGTTTCTGAAGAATAGCTCACTGCCTTGATATTTAACATGCTGCGTTTTTTACATCATTTAATGCGCCAAGCCTATATCTAATATTTTTGTTTATGCACTTTTTTAGACACTTTTAGTCCATCATTTCTGTTTTAATTTCTATTTTTTTTCATTTTAAGAAAAAATAAAATGATTGTATAAATGGAAACTAGTGTATGTGAAGCAAAGTGAATAGCTATATGAAATATTTTGAAAACAATGTTTTTATGGAAGCATTCAGTACGATTATATGAGTCTTATATAATTCCAATAAAATAGCCGTCATCTGGGCTACTCATTAATATGTCCTAGAAAAAGATATATTAAGTGTTTTGTTCGTTGCTCCTGAGAGTCAGTACTTTTTATATCTTGTCTTGTTCAATGCTACAGATGGCAATACCAGTACCACAAGTAAAGGACATCATTCCAAAATGTCTTCAATTACTTGGCACTTGACACAATTTTTGATACTTAAGAGATAGAGTCCTTCATAAGGGATTATAGCAAAATCCGGAGCACCACCAAGAGTGACCAGACCAACGTACTAAAAAGTTCTTTAGACAAAAGAAAGGTGATTTTGGGTCCTGATTTTCGGCATGAAAATTTAAATTTATACTCAGACTTTTTTTTAAAGGGAAATACTCGGCCGTTGCCAATACCCATTTCAAGCTTTAAAGTATGCCATGTTCTTTCTTGATACAATTGAATGTTTTATCCTACTCAAGTGTATGAACCTACGAGAAACATAGTAAAAAATCTTTTTTTAGTAAATGCGAGTAGTCTTTACAAGTTAATCTTATTTTGAATTGATTCTAAAGGGTCGATATGTTTAAATTCTAGAAATTAAGCAGAATATAAGATACATAGATAATAGTTATATTGTTACTTAAATTAAAGGGCTCTTGAATCATGATACTTAAGTTCGAATGACAGAAAACTGAGCTAATTTTTATTTCGGATCAGTTATCTTTTACTTTTATCCAACAGCTTCCTTTAAGATCAATCTTTTATTCATTGTGCCTTTTATAAAGCGGGGATATTTAACGAGTATCATTGGAGGGTAATGCAGCAGTTGTGATAGGAAGTGCCATGTTACGGTTTGTATTCATACCATCTGCAGAAATGTCTAGTAAACTACGAGAAATGAGTAAGTCAATTTAGTTTGCATTTGATCGTTCTTTACTTGTCAATGGATTTGGATAAATCACCACCATTTGCATGTAACACCAAGTAACATACACCATCATCCACATTAGTAAACATGCTGTTTAGTGTCTCTAGATTTGAATCAAACTCGTCTTGTTGCTGTTGTTGCACTATTTGGTCAGGATGTAGATTGGGTCGAGGAGGGAGAGGAGGCTGCTGCTGCTGCTGCTGTTGTTGTTGTTGTTGTTGGTAATACGGTTGTTGGTAATATGGCTGTTGGTAATATGGCTGTTGGTAATATTGTTGTTGGTAATATCGTTCATCTTCAACAGGGCTTTCTGCTCGACTACTACTAGCAGAGGAAGTATCACTTAAGCCTTGAAATATTTTACCTACAAAAGTCAACGGCCTCTGCATTGTCTTTTGAGCAAATTGGCTGCCTCTTTCTAACAAAGCAGCTGCCTTAGCAGGATCCAATAAGGGTTGTGTCTGAGGTGGTCTGGCTGAAGCTGAACGGGAAGGATGTAAGGCATTTTCATAGCTTACTTGCTGTTTATCCAAAGAAGGTGCAGAAGGTCTTTCTTGTTTCAATTCATTCATGGTTCTTTCAATATTGCTATCGAATTCTTCTTTTGTGATAGAGAGTGATTTGGCTTCCATTGTCTCTATAAAAGCAATAGCACCCATCTTGTATAATATGAATTGTTTAGCCACGATAGTCAACCATACAGATACTTACTAGGTTTGTCAGATAATAACCAGCTTCAGCCTGAAGTTGTTCAGGGTTTCTAAACCGATAAATGTATTGTACATTGGACACAAGGCGAGGTGGATTGGCTCTAATGACCACATAGATTAAAATAGGTAAGAATTTATCTGCACCAGCATCTCCTTCTACATGTTTGATCAAGCCAAAAATCACTTTACAGCAATTCAGTATACATATCAATTTATCTCTAGGTGCCTTATAATTGTTGATCTTGAGGATTTCTATCATATTTTAAGAAATGTGTCCCTTGTTGATAAAGATACTTTACCTGACTCTGCGAAAGACAAGAAGGATTCATTGTGTTCTGTCTCTGGAATATCCAAATGCTTTTCACGAATCCATCGAAATATGCTGATTTTTTGATAAAGAATTTCGTCTCTTTCTTTATCGTCTGTTGTGTTTGGACAAAAAGTGACATGATAAAGTCGATTCATTACAAGTTTCTCCATGCCTTCTTGTGCATTACCGAATTCTTGTTCAGGCACATCTCTCCAAGTATCACATTCTCTCATTTTCACATAGATAAACTAAACAAGATAAGTTGTCTATAGATATATATATATATATATATATAAAGGTGACATTTACATCTAAAAAGTCTTGTATAATCTTGATTTGTTCATTCACTGTCCATGGTCTACGATCAAATGCCTGTAGAAAACTCTTAAAATAACGAGTAATAGGCTTGGAATTGCGGTTTCTCATTTGTTCCAAGAACCGATTGAAATCAAATGGAATTTCTTGTTGTTGTTGTTGTTGTTGTTGAGGTGGGGTATCTGGTATATCATGTGTAATAGAAGGACGTCTTGCCAAAGTGGAGGATTCTTTTTCGTGAATTTAATGTCCGCATAAGCACGGAAGAACTGTACTTACCATTGAATTGATTAAAGATGTGATCCATTTCTTTTGTTGTCTTTTGATTTCTTATGTATATAAAAAAAAAAGAGGTAAGTTTAAAATACACAAATACGTTTTCATACCTCTTATCGTCTTGCTTTTCGTTATATTCATCGTCTTCTTCAGAGATGATCTTTACTTTCTCATCAAACTCTTCTGTTACTTCATCTATTCTTTTATTGTCCATCTTGTTCATAAAAAAGAAAAAAGAGAGAGAGGAAGAGATAAAAAATACCAAAAAATAATAAGAATGGTCACGATGATCCAATGACGTACAATATTACAATTAAGCTTTGATTGGATCAAACAAAAGGTGTATTTATTATGACAAATAAATAAATAAAAAAGAATTATTGCTTGGCCTTGAGTTCTTCAACAAGAGCAATGTACTTTTGCTCAGCTTCTTCTTGAGAAAGACCTATAGAAAATAAGCATTTCTTAAAAAAAACGCGAAAAAAAGTGAATAGTTACCCTTCACTTCAGTCCAAGCATCCCACTTGTAACGACCCTTGATATCAAAAGTAGGCTTGGCTAATCATAGTATCAGCATACGCTTTTATGGATTTCATTCACTTACAGGTAGTGTTGTCACCCACAGTAGCTTGCTTGAACAAAGCATAAAGCTTCAAGAGTTCATCATTAGAAGGCTTAGTAGCGAGCTTTTGAACTTCTTCAGCAGCAGTGTTGAATTTCTATTTCATCTTGAGTCCACAGGATATACGCGTATTTGATCAACTTACATCAGAAGGCATATTGAAAAAAGAGAAAAAGAGATAAAGAGTAAAGAATTAAAACGAAAAAAAACCTGATTTATACGTTTATTTTCTTACCCCGGTCATGTGTTGAAATGGCATATAACCTTCTGTTTATGCCGAATTACTTTTTGTCAGGTACAGTTTTTATTGGCCATGCATTAAAGGGGATTTGTTTTTATTGGCATAACATGACTGAAACACCATAAATGGTACTTGAATGATGCAACTCGCAAGGTGAACAAAGCACCTTCCATAAAAGGATAATCTTCCTCTTGGCAACCCACTCTTTATTTCATTGACGTAATACACGCAATTTTCTCTCTCTTTTTTTTATTATTATTATTATGTCTTCTGCTGATAACGGTGAAGTCAACAATGTTGACAAGATTCCTACTGAACAAAAAGGTGCTTTCCACTCTTTTCTTAAATCACTCGCTTCATTCTCTGGTGATCTTTCTTCCTTGACTTGTCCTGCTTTTCTTTTAGCTCCTGTCTCTTTGATTGAATACTCGTAAGTCCTATTTAAATAAACTCGTTTATGCTCATTTGTTCAAAGCGAATATTGGACACAACAACCCGACCTATTTACCGATATCACAAAAAAAGATGATGAACTACAACGTATGGTTGCCTTTGTCAAATGGTTCATCTCTTCTCTCAACGCTTCTTATGCGCGACGTGTTCCTAAGGGTGAATGGGAAAAGAAGCCCTACAATCCTGTCTTGGGTGAACAGTTCAAGATGAACTGGCAAGACTTGAATGGATCAGGCGAGACTAATGTTCTTGTTGAACAAGTGTCTCATCATCCTCCTGTTACTGGTTTCTATATCAAGAACGACAAGGCAGGTATGGTATTGAATGGTCATACTGGACAAAAGACACGATTCTCTAGCACTTCTTTGATTGTGGACCAAGTCGGACAAAGTATAATTACCTTAAAGAACCGTGACAATGAACAATATCTGTTTAGTTATCCTTCGATTACCGTCAATGGTATTTGGTATGCAGGTAAGAAAAAAAAAAGGCCCCAAAATATATGATGTCATGACTCATCTTTTGTAGCTCCTTATGTTGAATTGTTAGGTACTTCTTATATCCAGTCCACGACAGGTTTGTATTGTTCAATTGAATACACATCCAAGGGTTGGATCTCTGGTGAAAGAAACCACTTCAAGTGTTATGTTCGTCGTAACAGTAATGCCAAAGACTATATTTACAAGATAGAAGGGCAATGGAGTGGTAAATCTACCATTACAGCACACGGATCCAAGACAGCCGAACCCTTTTTGGATGTGACTGAATTGACACCTGCTGGTATGCATGTGGCTGATATTTCAGAACAAGACGAAATGGAAAGTCGCAAGATTTGGCAGAAGGTGTCTGAAGCCATTCGTGCTAATGATACCAATTTGGCTGGTATTGAAAAATCCAAGATTGAGAACCAAAAGCGTGAAGAGAAGGCTGCGCGTCAAGCAGCGAATGAAGAATGGGAGCCTAAATATTTCCATTGGGTTGCAGAAGAACCTACGGTAGCTACTCTTCAACGTATGTTGACTTTTACTGTCAAGAACAAATACACACCTGCTACGCATGGTAACTGGGTTTATAAACAAGAATAAAATTGCATAATTTGTCTTTTTCCCTTTTTTTTTAAAAAAAAAATCAAAAAAAAAAAATTCCCTGTACTATGCAACGACTTCATCCTGAACAACAACATTCGTCTTTAGGGATTAGTAAAGCACTTGAGGAAGAATTAAGGAAATTAGAAGAAGAACGAAAGAATAAAAGAGGCCATCGTCATAGTCAGGTCATCTTTAAAAAGTCTTTGACTGATTCGATGTTCAAAGTACCTTCTCAGGAATCGAGTTTCTTTACTTGGACACGTTTCTACATCTCCCTTTATTACAACAAGGTAATTTCAAGATAGACTATTCTATTCACTCATCGTCTTAGGTGGCTGTCAATATGTTTGGTTTCTTGACAGGCTGGACATGGTACAACAGGTAAAGAATACAAATGTCTATCATTATTTAGACATGCGATAGATTAGACCGTCATGTCATCTTGGGTGCTTTGCCCACACCCTCACAGATCAAAAAGTTGCATCAACAAGAACGAGTGGATACAGTGGTCAATTTATGTGCTGAATTCCCTGGCTATAAAAAGCTTTATAGGGACTTAGATATCAAACAGATTCGATTAGAGACACCCGATTTTTCAATACCCTCTATTGAGATGATACGACAAGGCATTCAAGAAATAGAACATAGAAAACAACAAAACCCTAAAAGTACAGTGTATCTTCATTGCAAAGGTAAAAGCTTCTTCTTTTTCTTTTATTGGGTTGCTGATATATCCATAGCTGGTAGAGGAAGAAGTGCAGTCATTGCTGTATGTTATCTATTAAGAACGTATACCTTGGATTTGACAACGTGTCAAGCATTGATATCAGAAAAGAGACCCCAGGTATGTATGTTATAAACAACCATTTGTTTCTTAAGTGTCTTCTAGGTGGATAAAGACTTGTGTCAATCAGATCAAGTACGCTTATTTTACAAAGATATCTTGTCTGAACTCGAATCAGGCAAATTAACTCGCATACGTTACCCCTAATCCTTTAAATTCAGACTATACACAGTACCTTTTTCTAGTATCAAAAAATAAAATTCTCCTCTTTCTTTCTTTCTTTTCTTTTTTCATTTTTATATATGGCTGACATGTCCACCCTGGATTCTCCTTCCAGTAGCTACACTGACTGTGCTCAAGAATGGACGACGCCCATTACCCATCTAGGTTCATCATTTAAAGATGTGTATGGAAGATCATTGTTGATGCGAGGTATCAATATTTGTGGATCATCTAAACTTCCCACCCACCCTTATCCTGGTTCAACCCATCTGTATGATGAACATTTGTTTTGGGATCATCGCAATGTCAGTTTTGTAGGCAGACCTTTTCCTTTAGAAGAAGCAGACGAACACTTGAGTCGCTTAAGGGCATGGGGCTTGACTTTGATTCGGCTATTAGTACCTTGGGAAAGCCTTGAGCATGCAGGTCCTGGACAATATGATCAAGAATACATAGAGTATTTGCGTGCATTAATTCAAATGATGCCACGTTATGGTCTCAAGTGTATGATTGATCCTCATCAAGATACGGTAAGTAGCACATAAACCATATTGTACCTATATGTCATTAGTGGTCTAGATTCTCGGGTGGTTCAGGTGCGCCTGGTTGGACATTTGAAGTGGCTGGTATGAATATCAAGCATTTTAAAGAAACAGGTGCTGCTTATGTTCATAATACCAATGCTGTGCCTGGAGATCCATTGCCTATGGTAAAAACATATGATGTGATAAAATACTCAAGTGAATGCTAGGTATGGCCTACCAATTATACCAAATTAGCCTCCTGCACTATGTTTACATTGTTCTTTGGTGGTGATGTATTTGCACCTAAGCGACACTATCAAGGCAAATCAGTACAACAGTTTCTGAATGATTGTTTTGTGAATTGTTATCATCATTTGGCTACTTGCTTTGCGGATTTAGAAGCTGTGATGGGATTTGAATTCATGAATGAGCCTCATCCAGGCTATATTGGGCTTGAGCAACTTGATGCGTTTGATCCCATCACCAATTTGATTTTTGGTGATTCACCTACGCCTTTACAGTCATTTGCACTCGGTGACCGTATTCCTCAAAAAGTAGGTGTCTATATCAAATCATGGCCCTTTCCTACCAAGAAGTCCCATGAGCGTATCATGAACCCACGCCGACTGTCTGCATGGACAAGTGAATGTGTCTGGAAAGAACACGGTGTGTGGAAGCCAGATGAAATCACAGGTGATCCTGTCTTAGTGGATTCGCAGTATTTCGCCAAGGATCCTGCCACAGGTCGACCTGTTTCGTTCTATGATGATTTCTATAAGCCGTTAGTGAACCGATATGCAAAGACAATCCAGAGTGTGAAGCAGGATTGGTATTGTCTGGTTGAACCTTTGGCCAATGAAGTAAGTAGTGCCTCGTATCCCAAAAGGAAGCTGACAAGAAGATGTAGAGAGCACCCGTGTACACAAAAGAAGATCATCATCACAATATCATCTTTTCTCCTCATTGGTATGATCTGAACTGTGTATTCTATAAGAAATTCAATGGTAGAATGACACATGATGTTCAATGTCTTCAAAGGGTAAACAGTCAAATGGCCCAATCATATCCTCATATTCTGATAGGGAGGCAATGTGTTTAATGCCACTTATTTCGGCCGAAATGGTGCCAAAAAGAACTATACTCGACAAATCAAGAATATCAAACAAGATGGCTTAAGAGATATGGGAGACAAACCCTGTATTTTGGGTGAAGTGGGCATTCCAATGGACCTGAATGATAAAATAGCCTTTAAAGACGACAATTATTCAGACCATATTCATTTCTTGGATGCTATTATTTATGCGCTCGAAACCAATTTGATTCATTTTACGCAAGTATAGGATTATGCTTGTTTTCTTTGTTGACCTGATGTTTTTTTTTTTTTTTTTTTTTTTTTTTTTTTTTTACAATAGATTATGGAATTATGATATCTGCAATGATCATGAATATGGTGATCATTGGAATGGTGAAAACTTTTCTATCTATTCAGCTAGAAAACAAAAGAAAGACTATCAAGAGCATGATGATGGCAACAGTAAATTATCAAAAAAGCATTTATACGATGGAGGCAGAGTGTTGGAAGCTGTTCTGGTAAAGTAACCTTATAGTATTTTGTATTCACTCTCGTAGCGTCCTTATGCTTCCAAAGTGGCAGGTATGCCTGTGTCTTCTGTATTTGATATAGACACACTCTGTTATACCTTTTCATTTATACCTTTTACCCCTGAACAACTGGACACCTTAAATCACCATGGTTACCAAACATCCAATCGAATGGCTTGTGTTACTGAAATCTTTGTTCCCTTTTTCCATTTCGGTGACAAGAGACTCAACATAGAAGCCACGCATGGTCAATGTGAATACGAACAAGAGAAACAGACCTTGTATCATACATATCAACAAGTTTCTGAGCCAATTACTATCACCTTAAGTGTAGTTAATCAAACACCCTCCCCTTCCTCTTCCTCCTCCTCCTTGTGTCATGTCATGTAAAAAATACATATATATTTGAATATCAGATAAGAATAAAACTGTCTCTCTTTCCCCCCTTTTTTTATAGTTTTTTTTTTTTTTTTTTATGAGCAAAGTAACCAAACTAAAAGACAAAAGAGAGTTTTAACTTTTTTTATAGGCACCTTATGTTTCTCCTTCCACAGGCGCAAGAAAAGTCGGTAGTATGACAAGTTCAACTCGCTCACCTAACGTCAGTAACGTGTTCTCACACGTCCGCACACGAAGTAACAGTGTAGCTGCTGCCCCTTTACAACGTTTAAAGCGACTCCCCAGTGCTGATGAGTGGGATGAGGAAGAAATACATTCACCTCGACTGATATCACATCATTTCAAAAAATACGAATTAATGACAGAATTGTAAGTCGACATTGTATATCTATGACCCTGATGTTTCTCTCTAGTATCAATTTAAAAAACCCAAACCATTGTCCTTTAGGTGTTTATATCATGCCTTCCTCAGAGAATCTGAATGGTAATGATATATAAAAGCAGCTTTGTTATTGATCGTCTATCTAGTCTGGTATGGTGTTATTTTCGTGCATCAAGGATTATACCAATCAGGTGTATTTAAATTCAGAGTAGCCATACCTGAAAGCTATCCTGAATATTCCCCTTCTGTGACATTTATGAGTGATATGTTTCATCCTTTGATTGATGGAGGTGGCAATCTCTCTATTTCTCAACAATTCCCTACATGGCGACCTTATGAAGACTATATTTTTCATGTATTGCATTATATCAAAAACATTTTTAAAAAAGCAGTCTTGGATCGATTGTTGGATCGCTATTGTCCTAACAAAGAAGCCTATCGATTGTAAGTGTTGATATGCATAAATCCTGACTCAATTGGATTTAGATACCGAACAGATAAATCAGTGTTTGCTAAATTAGCACAACAGTGTGCTCAATTATCAATTACAGAATCTTATCTATTTGATCATTTTCCTGATGATAATATGATTCGATTTTCACCCATGAGTGAATCAAGACTGGGTATGTCTTATTATGAAATGGCATGAACTCATGAGTATAGAGAGTATAAGGACGCAATTGTTGGGAACAGAAAGTATGTTTAGTGAAGAAGAAGAAGAATGTTTAGAGACACAAGTCATATCGACAAAAGTAACTGAAATGGAAACAAAAGCAAAAGACACATTCACTATTCAGGCAGAGACAACAATAAAAGAATCATCATTGGAGAAAAACCAAGAGGCAACATCAAGTGCCTAACATACCAAATAGTAATAAAAAGAAGTAATTATTAATAATGGTTATGTTGGTTATAAGGTGATTGGTATTGAGGTTGTGGTGAATAATGCGCTTGAGGCTGTGGAGAATAATGGCCTCGAGGCTGTGGAGAATAATGGCCTCGAGGCTGTGGTGCATAGTGTGACAAGTTAGTTTGGCTTTGATAAGGGGATGAATAAGGCTGCCCTTGTGCATGCGATGTGAGTCCTGCTTGTTCACTATAAACAGAGGTCAAACTATTTCGTCTTGGACCATAACTGTATTGTGATCCTGTTGTCAGACTTGTGTTTGAATGTTGTCTGTGGTGATAATAAGGACCAGGTGCTAAAGTCTGTGGGTCCATTTTTGGTAGAGTAGGTTGAGGAAATGAACGCATCTCAATATCGTCTTTTTTATGGTGATGATGTTTATGTCCTCTTTTTTCAGATTGAGTGTTTCTCTCTACTCTTTCCCGTGCTTGTTTCTTGAGAATTTCATTGATTCTATTCACTCCTTGGTATCCGAATTTCATATGGACATGCCTTACCTTTTATCTACTTTATGGCAACAGTATTCTTTCAGGTTGCCTCGAATATGACAAAGAACAGGAAAATAAATAATGACCGCAGCACAGAACGAAATAAACGAAATGCCAAACATAAAAGTAGAAAAAATCATGGTGCCTGTCATTATACGCTGTATATACGTTTTGCCTAACCCTTCATAAGAGACTTCTAAGCCATGGTTGATTTGAATCCATTTGGGTATAATTGCGATCAATGTTACAATATTGATCACTTGTCTCGGCGCTTCTGCCAACAAAATCTTTTTCCATCCTGATTGACGAATGAGTGCATTGTACAACATATGTCTGTAAATTACCTTTCAAGGTAAAAAAACAAAGAACGCAATGGAGTCAATACTCTTTCTTGAGTTATTAATCGCTCGAAACAAACAAAAGCATGAATAGTCTCGTATGGAATAATAACGATTGGCAATCTGTGAAAAGAAGGCAAGTGAAATATCTCTTGAATCAATAATGCCTCTTGATTTCTTGATTTCCCAAAACAAAATGCCAAAAGAAATAATAATGGCACCCAAGAAAATCCATTTGGCAACATCTGGGGGAATAGAAGCATCTGCATTGATGCTTGAATTACCAATGACAATTAAAGACACTATATTCTTTGTAAGTTCATATATATGTACATATATTGTCTATTTTTACCTGCTGTCCACAAATCAGCAATATAAACAGCAAAACTTTTAAACATCAATATATACATAAACATATAAGACGACTTTGCTCCACAGGATGGATCATAAAATTCGTTGATATCGATATAGTCAAATTTATGATCTTTTACTACTTCACGTTTCCACTTGGGTCCGTCACCAAAGCACTATCAGGACATGAATATTCGAGATCTCATAATTTATTAAATTACTTTACCATACTCAACAAACTCTATGACAAAGTAGAAAAAAGGGAAAGGAATGGGATATTCAAAAAAAAAAAAAAAGGAGGAAAGAAGAAAAAAGGGACATTATTCCCTGTTCTCCTTTGGTTTGAGTATATATCAGGCGGGGTTTATTAAGACAAAAATAACCTTTGTTTTCGCTTAAAACAGAAATACAATGTTTTGCGTTTGAAAAAGGTTTGATTATTGGTAAAAATATTTCACCACCAGAAATATACATCACACAGACAATGCATTCTTTCTGTACTGGTAATCTTTATGAGTGACATATCCAATCTTGAAAGTTTTCATTTGTAATTATCCGAATTACCTCTTCAATCCTTAGAAAGATATAGAGCATAGAACGGAGAAGACACAACTACCTTATTGTCACCTGGACTTGACGGCTTATAGCTTGTGAGCAGAATATATCTTTGAAATATATTGATTGACTACAGCATTTCCTTATTCTTTTTAGAAAAAGTGTTTAGAGCAGAATGTTTGAGGATTTACTGAACCATTTTGAAACTTCGACAGTTTTTTTTTAACTGTGGCGATATGAAATCCAAAAAAGGAAATCAGGTGGCGACGTTTAATGGCTCTCAGTAAAAGAACACCAGTTATTATTATTATTATTATTATTATTATTATTATTATTATTATGCGTAGTACTGACTATTTATATTGACACGACAGTAAATATGAAAAAATCTGAGCGCTTCTTTTTTGAATCATCACATACTTCTGAAGAGACATCCCAACGAAAAAAACAGATGGCTGTGACATACAAATATAAGGCTTTATAAAAAGTTGGTAACATGCTTGGTAATAAAGTTGGATTCTGACTTTCTGACAATATGTTGCTCCTGATGTGCTTGTTTTTGGTCGAGGTTGACAAAATTCAATGTTTAGGTTAATATATAATATAAAAAAGGTCAAAATCTGTCAGAGGGTTGGTCCAGTCCGCAGAATACTAGGTTTTGTACATCTGTTGCAAGACAATTGTCGCCTTAATCCTGTGACTATCGGACAACGAATTTGAATTTTTTGGTCTGCTACAAACTTCAACACATGTATGTCTAACAAAGACACCTAGCTAACCGTCATCAGTTTATACTGTAAACGCCCTTCTCGCTTCTCTTTTTTCTAGTTGTATTTAAATGTAATCGCTTTGAAATTTGATCGATATCAACTGCTTGATACACATCAAAAAGTGAATGGAAGCTTGATATGAAACGTGCAATTAGCGAGCTTACTAAAGAAATAAAACAACAAAAGACAGCATACAAGTAACTTTTTTGAAAAATTCAAAATAAATTCTTAACTTTAAGATATACACCGAGGCTGATATTTATCAAACTCATCAGGCGCACCAGTTCAACAGATCAAATGGGGTTTAGTAAAATACTTTATTTGAATAAATAATTCAATAGTCCCTTACTTGCTCATGTAGTAAAGATACTAGGCAAATAGATACGTCAGCAGTGAAAAAGACGATAATCCATACAGATCTTTATCTTTTTCTTAGACATGTAAAGGTATTGTAAAGCCTATTTATACATGCATAAATGCACCAATTATCTACAAACAGTGTTTGCTAGCATCCATGGTAACTTTGGAGATGATTTGGATAAAAAAAATGCGACTCGTAAAATTTGGTCACTTGGATCTATGATCCAAAAGGGATTACTCGCAAAAATATTGAGCTTGATATCTCTTTGAGCTTCTTTTTAATGCTACAAGGCAAAAAATAGAGCTATCGGCAAGCTTAAGTACTTAAAATAAATGCCGGGCGCTCTAATTTTTTCCAAATGTGTTTATTTGTCAGTTGTATTATAGAAATGATGAGATATGAGTAAAAAGAACTTATAAACATTTTTGCTTGTTTTCTCAGAATTTTGTTATTAATCGATGGAATTTAAAAGTCAAAATCTACAACTTTTGTTATTGCATCAAAGCAAAAAAAAAAAAAAAAAAAAAAAAAAAAAAAAAAAAAAAAAAAAAAAAAAAACAAGCTTAGCAGTACATTTTTTCTCATTCAAAAATAAACCAAAATAGAAAAATAAGATTTAAATGAAAAATGGATGAATACTATTGAGCATCAGAAAAATGTAAGTTATATATTGCATGAATTTCACAGAATATCTATTTTGACACTTTATTATGATTTACGTCTAATTATGCAGTTATTGTCTTAGTGATAGAATGCCTTAAATTAATTGGAAAATCTTAGGTATCAACTTTTCAATCATACTGAGCTAATTGGAGATTGATCGGCTCATCTAATGCAGATACTTGTAAAGCAGTAGCCAGTAAATCATCTGGACCAATTCTACTATCTATGGAATAAAAATTCTTGAAGATCATGCTGAGCCCTGACACAAATAATCATCTATAAATATGAATCTATTGTTGACTCAATAAATCTTACTCTTTGACTGATCTTAGTTTTCTCGCTCTTAGTTTGACATTGATAAATTAGTAAGCAATAGCATGGATGAACACGTACAATCATGAGTGAGTATACGTAATCATGGCTGAATATGGACGACCTTGGATGAACATGAATAAGCATGAATGAGCAGAGAACAACTAAGTTTTTTTTTGTACTATATTTTATAATTTTGAAGTAAAAAAATAAAATGTAGTTAAAACTGTTAATTGTTTTCAAAATTTTTAATTTTATATCTAATTTTTTCCTAAAAAAAAAAGAGTAAACAATACAGCGTAAGCGATTATATTTTTCTTCCATCAGTGGAAGAAACTCTCTTGAAAGTAGCTATTTTTCAAAAGTATTCTTTGTCAACACAAATGGCACACTTATGTATCCGCATAAATTTTGTTAGATTTATTGATTCAATATTGAGCACACGGCTTAATTTAGTCTAAATTATTTGAATCTGGTCAATTCATCAGAGCAACTAGATTAGAGTAGACTAAAAACCTCTTTAAGGAAACAAGGATAAAAAATACAGAGGAGAAAATGTTGATCTAACGATGTTTGTGGACATATGCCTGTAGTCAAAGAAAGAAGAGAGACAGTTGGTCGGTTGCTAAAAGGAGTAGAGTGTTCGTATTAGTATGTTTCATAAAGACGATTTGTATAGGAGGGAATGTATAGAGGTTTATTCGATGCATGCTGTGAGTGAGTTGAACGTAATATATGTATTGAGATGCCGGATAGCATGCGAATGATAGAAGCTTGCGCCACAGAAGCATGACTTAAGACTACCTTCAGGTAACCAAGCGAGTTGTCATCAAATTAGACGGATGCACCCGAGGTTAGTTCTAGGAAGTCAGAGAAAAAAATGCTGTTGCCGCCGATAGAGAACATCATAATCATAGTTGAGCAAACTTCATTACAACCTACTTGCACCAGACCTTTAGGACTAGAGATGTCTCTGATTCTGAGAGAGATTCAGAGATAGGAGAAAATATTCTATCGTGGGACAACTCTATCAAAGAGAATATACTCAGTGGTGTCTTTCTCAGATACATTTAGTAGAGTTCCATCTATAGTCTAGTGTAGAATTATGCTCAGTATATTGATTTCGCTTAGGTGTCGAGAAGAAATTGCAAAACTTTTCCAAAAAAAAACATAGCAAAACTCATAAACATCAGAAGTCTTTGATAAGTGTAGTGGGTCTCTCTTGGAAAAATAAATCAAAAATAATAAAAATATTAACGGTTATGCCGACATGGCAAATATGCCATTTGTGTACTCAAAGAAATATTCTCTAAAAAAATAATAAAAACCACTTTTCAAAATACATTGAAGATATTTTCTGTAGTGATAAAAAATAAAGAAATAAAAAAAGTATGAAATTTCTGATTTTCCTGTTTTAAATTAATAAACGAGTCTACGGAATAGTGGGTTTATTTTTTTTAGTTTGAAGAGATCACTAGTTGTCAGATTCGCTTATTAATTCAAAACAGAAAAAATTGAAAATCAAACCTTTTTTTTTAATTTGAAACAGAAAATTAAAATTTTCTACTTTTTTAATTTTTATTATTGTAGAAACCATTTTTATTTTATTTTAAAGTAGTGGTTTTTATTGTTTTTCAAAAAATCATTTTTTGAGTACACAAATGGCATACTTGTGGTTTCGGCATACCTTTTAGTATTTCTATTATTTCTTGAGAATACTTTTTTTGTAGAGTTATTAATACAGCGTAAGCGATTGGAAAAATCACTGAAGGACCTGTGTACCTCAGGCCTCTAGGAACAGTGTGATAGACTTACAAAAAAGTATTCTCAAGAAATAATAGAAATACTAAAAGGTATGCCGAAACCACAAGTATGCCATTTGTGTACTCAAAAAATGATTTTTTGAAAAACAATAAAAACCACTACTTTAAAATAAAATAAAAATGGTTTCTACAATAATAAAAATTAAAAAAGTAGAAAATTTTAATTTTCTGTTTCAAATTAATAAAAAAAAAATTGAAAAATTGATTTTTTTGTTTTAACATAAAAAACGAGTCTACCAACCAGTTATCTCTTCTTTAAACTAAAACAGTAAGATTATCATCCGGTAGACTCGTTTTTTATTTTAAAACAAAAAAATTGAAAATTTGATTTTTTTTTAAATCTATAACAAGAAAATTAAGGATATCCTTCTTTTTTTTTTTTGATTTATTTGAAAATAGTGCTTTTTATTATTTTTCAAAAAATATTTTTTTGAGTACGCAATTGGCATATTTGCCATGTCGGCATAAATATTAACGGAATTGGGATTGAATAAAAATCCTGAAGATATTTTCTTGACATTTGTTGTGAGATGAAGAGGGAATAGATTCGTAAAAAAAAACGGTAGGACACAGAGAAGACCTGTTGGAGCTTGTATAGAGTTTCTGTTCTCAGAAGAAATATGATAAGATGTCGAGGTATTTATACTTTTTCTTCTCGGTCAAAATATTGTTTTGGGGTCAGCTTCTTGACTACGGATTGGTTTGCTAGATCAGGAGCAATTAAGAGAAATGCCTTTAGAGGAAGTTGTCAGCTCAGCCAATAGTGCATGATCTGACCTGAACTTGAATAAACTATTACATATTTGTCAAATGCCAGTACCAATGTATTTGTCAGCTCTAACTGTCACTTTATGAGTGCCATTAATAATAACAGAGTCACTAAGTTAATAATCTCTGACTATGAGGATGATGTAGTACTTCTAGTAGAATGAGTGAATGTCAGTGACTATAGATCCATTGCAATTGCCATAGATGTGATCTGGTCTTTTGCCATGATCATCATTTATTGATCTATGCATATGAATTCATATATGTTCACAACAACGATGAAGATGAAGCTATTTGAATTAAGACATTTCAACTTGATGCCTAATCTCCCTCGATTTGAGT